GATCCTAGTGGATCCTGGTGGATCCTAGTGGATCCTGGTGGATCCTAACGGATCCTAATGGATCCTGATGGATCCCAGGATCCACCAGGATCCGCTTTTTCCCCCTTGGAATAGATATTCAATTATTTAAAGTAATTACAAAACCTTTAACGAAATTAATAATACAAATTAATGAAACTAGTATAACAAATAATAAAACACAACAAACAATTGGTAAAATTTATTGTTATAATGAAACAATTAAATGTAAATATTTATTTCGATCAATGATTGAAAAATTTGGTGATAATATTGTTGGAATAATTTTATTTATAGGTTCTCTTATAATTCTTACTGGAATACTTTTATTTATGGTTAAATTGTTAAAATCAATAATTATTGGTTTTATTGATGATACATTAAAAGAAATTCTCCATATTCAATCTCATGGATGGAAAGAATGTTTACTTGGTTATGTTTTTATTATTGTTGGTATTATTCTAGCAATACTTGTTCAAAGTAGTACTACGTATTTTTCAATGAGCATTTATCGAATTAAATATTTGAGAAATTGAAAGTTAAATCGATAGATTGAGATAGAAGAAGATGAAATCTTAACGGTACTCAGTTTGCAATAAAGTTGAAACATATGGAATCAGTTGAAAGATACAATGACAAATTGATTATGCTTTTCAGGTGTTGTATTAAAAGTGTGGTCTGTTGATATTTTCGTCACGACAAATCCTTACGATACAGAATTTTGTAGCATATTTGAAATTTTAGCGAAACCTTTATGAAAATTTTTTCGTTTGTTGACCGTTGTAATTAGACGATTGAGTGGATAGTCATCTTCTAAATTTTACGCCAACAAAAAAAATTATTTGAAAAACAAAGTTTCTAATATGTTAGGAAATACTATGAAAAGAGGAAAACATTTTGTCCGGTTTACTATGCGCCATCCATTAGCGTTTTTTTTCTTTAATAATAGTAACTAAAATTGCATCATAAAATTGTATTGAATATTAAAAATCTGATTCATTTTGACTATGCCTTTGCATCAACATGCATATTTAATAAACAATAATATGTAAAATTTAATCAAAAATTGAAGAACTTAAGAATCATCCATAAAAGATGTCTCATCAAGAACGCGTTTTTTGACTGGCTCCTGTCTCTCTAGATGACCAGTTTGTGTAGTATTTTTTTGAAAGAGCTTGTTTATCGAGTTCCCTATTATATGACTAAGAGTATAGTAGTTAGAGAACTGCAGATGCTATATAAACACATTCAATCAAAAGATGACTCATTGTCTAAATAATACATATCATGCCAAAGTTGTGGTCTCTATTCTTCATACAACACAAGTTCATATTTCTTAGCTACGGAATTTCCCGAAAAAATCAACCTTCTTCTTTTGATAAAAAAAAATTATACTAGTTTGAATCCCATTGTAAGGACTATCAGAATATATATAAATTTCGAAATTGACTTTTTTGAAATGATCCTTAACTTGAAAAATGCTTAAAGACTGCAAAAAAAACATTATGATGTGAGAGTTCGAACATTCAATTGTGTCTGCCTCTTTTCGGACTTCGTTTATGGATAGTTTCTGAACAATACGATGATAAAAATTTGTCCAGTATAATCATTCTAACTTGACTGAATGGAATCATTATCGTTAAATTGATAATGTAATTTTTAGGTGTTTTTTGTTCGATATTAACACCATTAGTTGGTCTTCAAGTACTTTCACTTGAACGTAATTATGAATTAACAATTGATGCTAATATTGGTACAATAATAACAGCACTTTTTGCTTCTCTTACCCAAACTGGTCTATTTTTTCGTCAATCCATACAAATAGCATTAACTCATTTTTTATTTAATCTATCAAGTTGTATACTTTGGTATATTCTTCCATATTTTCGTCGTATTCCAATTTATTTAAGTCGTCAAATTGGTTATATTGTATCTGAATATCGTTGGTTTGCTTTAGTTTATATAACATTAATATTTTTTCTTTTTCTATTAATTCTTTTAATTCTTGCTTTAATACATTGGATAGTTGCAAGTATATTTCTTCTAATTAGTTTTATTATAATTATTAAATATTTTCAAAAAACAAATCCAAATAAATTACCAATTATATTACAGTCATGGTCTTTTCTTCCACGTTCATTTTCATATTCGGGCCATCATTTTGATATTTTTATTGAATATATTTGTTGTCAACGATGTATTAATCTAATTTATCCATTGAATACAATTGAAAAACCGTTAAAAGAACAATATTTACCAATGAAAACTCAATATTTAACAGCACTTGATCATCATTTTTTGATTCATACACACCAATTAAATCAATTATTTGAAAAATATCATGCACTAATTATTGCTCTTTATGAATCACGATATCCAATTAAAAATTATGTACAAGATTTCTATCATAGGTTAACTGGTAAACCAACACAAGGTGAAAAAGCATTATTAACTCTTATACAAACAAATTTATTTTCCAAAGAAACCAAAATTCATGAAAATGATGAAGAATTAATCGATCGAATTATTGCTTTTGATCAAGAGAAAAAAAAGAAAAAAAATCTGTAAATGAATACAAAAGTTCTTTGTCTTTTTAAAATTTTTTCATATAAATAAATAATGATTGTAGTTGCTGTTGCTAAACACAGAGAGATTGTTTTATTCTATCTACTTTAAGACCTATTTCTTTACTATCCATTTACTTAGTCCTCCAGAAATGCTATAAGCAAGTAGTTCATATATTAGAACGAGATATTATTGATATACGATCACAAATCGTATATCAATAACGTCTGGCATGGTCTCTAGCAAGTGTCTGTCACAGTCCGTGGAGATTGTGTTTTGCAAAACGCTTTGGCGCATCGGAACCCTTAAATCATCAGATGGATACAAAAATTCATAACCTCTTCAAGACGGGTAGTACATTGATTCAACTAGTAACTGATTTCAGCATGTCTCTTATAATGGCGTAGCTCGACAGTTTTTACTAGGGAGATAGTGAGTGGAGAGAGATTTCTACTAAGGAGTTGAAGTCGTTGTTCAGTGGAAGGAATGCCATTCATTTTAGAGACTCATTCCTCTCTAGACACCTAGTGACTATGCTACTAGTCGCATATGACCTCCAATGATAAATACAATCCAACGGACTATGGATCCACCATTTCAAATATATTCTGAAACTACCATTCATCTTCTTTCATCCTGTACTTAGACTCACTACTTCTATACTTTGCCTTAAGTCTTCGATGAATGATAACAGCTACTATTAATTTCTCATGTAAAATCCTTATTGTCTTCATATGAATTGTCTCTTCTAGTGCATTCTGGTTCTACCCATCAGTATCTTTAATTTCAATAATTCAATAGTCAAAAATTTCTAAAAATATATTTAAAATTTTCGTATCTATCTGATGACTTAATGGTTTTGGTTCCACGTGATATTTTGGAAACTGTGGAACTATGACTGAGCCCAAAATAAACTTGGCTCCGCACATCTCTAGTTACAGTCTGTGAAGGGGGAAAGGTGAGTCCAAATCTTTACTCCTATACTTCAACACGGCTTTTTCGGTGGTATTTCACAAAAGTATGATCCATCCTGGAAATCATGTTAGACGTAACACAAACGATTGTTAACTATTATTAAAGTATTTTCAACATTTTAATACTACTGAAAATTTTTTCTTATATTCAAACATTTGTTAGAATCTGAATGAAGTACAATCATTCTAATTAATTAATGAGAACATGCTATGCGATCAAATATAGGATTTTTTTGCAAATTTAGAAGATCAGAATAATATACAAATTTGTACATTGAAATATTAAAAAGAAACGAATTCTATTCAGTATAATTATTACTATAAAATACAATGCAACATTTTTAAGGTGTTCATAGACAAAATAACTTTCGTAGATATCAGCTTATTTTTTAGTGGAATTCTATAGAGGCATGCAGGGCGAATCGAGAGACTTTTTTTTTGAACTTTTACTTTTTTGTTATATATCTTCGTTTTTTTAGAAAGAAAAAGATTTGCTTCACAAACAATATACACCAAACATTTTTCTTTAATTTTTCGTTTTCAGATTTCCAAGATCTTGTTGAAAATTAGATATATATTTTGATATTCAATGATTATTTGAAGAAATTCTCAAATGAAACTTGAGAACGGCTTAATTAAAAACAAACTGCATTTAGATGCAGTTTAATCAATCTCTCTTTGACTATATTAGAGAGAAAAGAACAAAACAATTGAAAGAAAATTTTTTGGAGTGCTTTTCGCAATCAAGTCTCATCTATTGAGTTCATCTAGTTGTGCTGCTGACGGCTTTACTTTTTTCTAAAATTTTCTTGCAGACGAAAGAATCGTTATAGTTATCCTGGAATGTCTTGAGAAACTTTGAAGCCACATACTGACTGATGTGAACTTTTTCTCGCCTTATAAAGCATGACATTTCTTGATTAATATGTATTGACCTTTCTCACGAAACATTAAATTTAGAAAAGCAATAGAAACTTCGCCTCATATGCGTGAGATTCTGTCATTTGTCTAAGTTCAATGTCAAGTGAGAAGGAAAGAGCTCGATTCGAGAATATAATGTGCCACAGATCAGAGAAGGCTTTGTACAGGTCAGAATTGTGAGCCATTTTTTTTATCATTCTTGTATACGATAGTCTTCAGAAATTTCTTCCATACGAAAGTTTTCGAAAAGTCGAAATTTTTTTCTCAACACAATTTGATGTGTCCCATCCAAAAATAGTATAGAAGTTTTTATAATAGTCCTTACTCAGTATGTATACCAACACAATAGTTATTGTATTCTCCTGCTCAAACACACCAATCTCTATAGCATCATATTCTTTCAGTAGAGGGTGGGCGACGTTTGCGTCGCATTAATATGTAAGGATTGCAATGCTAGCATCACAGGATGACATGGCTAATGTAATTACTATTATATAATTGATTTGAAGAAACATTAACGAAATGACAGGTGCGCATTAAATAAAATATCCAAGTCAATGATTCTGGAGAACGGATATTACAGAAACCGGTGGGAAAATGCAGAAAAATCGCGGAAACTGGAAGCAGTATTTCAATCGAAAATTTTTGAGTTTTTCTACGATGATTTTCACTTAGCTTCTGTTAAACAGCATAGAAAGTTGGTCCGAATTCACCAGAAAAAAGACCAAACTTTTTGATGGAAATACTACTTTCTTGCTCCAGCGATATCCCGTGTTTTCTTGCCAGCATCTACTCATGCCTCTTGAGCCTGACAGATGGATGAAAGTTGAAACTTCATGGCTAGTACTATTCTTTTTTCCTCTATCATGCCATTCTCCTTTCAGTAGAGGGCTTAGCGACGGTTGCGTCGCGTTACTTGTTGTTTAGATAGAGAATTGTCATAATAGGAAGAAACCCGAAAAGAGGTTATTTCATAGTGTTTATGTAGCATAATATTAGTAAATAGCGGATTAACCCTTTCAGGACCGTGGTACAAGGGTTGTACCACCTATTTTCCCGGTGGAAAAAGTATTTCATTTACACTTATGTGTTCATACTTCTTATACATGGAAGTCATAAAGGACTTGAACTATCATGTTGTACATATCTTTTCTAGATTCTGTATATAATCTTCTCAGACATTCGGTTTTCTTTATATGATTTTATCATGAAATCATAGTTTCCTTCTCTTTCTCTGATATGTTGTTTCATATTTGATTGGAAGTCTGGAAAAAACTGGCTTCAGCCTTTCTTTTTTTTTTCTTCAATGAATTTATAGCTAACACATTTATCAACTACAGCCAATTAGCAGAATGAATTATCATACTTGAATTATGTGGTTTCAGTGGCTAAATCTGTCTGTTCTTGGGCTGATCGAATAAATCTTGGAATTTCTCCTTCAGACAAGAAGGTTAAATTAGCACCGCCACAACCTGTTGTTCAGGTAGATGGTGGAATGCACATGTCTGTCAAAGAAATACGAAAGACATGTGCTTACTGTAGCACAAAAGAAGTGCAAGTTTGATCAGTCATCGAATGCTCTAATTGCAAACTGGCTTTCTCCTTAGCAGACGAGAAAAACTGTTTCTTTGAATACCATAGACGTTTCATAGAAACAGAGATGTTCATGGTGGCGGCAAATTTTTCAGAAAGAGGTTTTAAGAATTCATGAATTTATATAGAATCTCAGTTACTATGTATGTTATACTGTAAAATTTAACGAATCTGATCGATTATCTGCAGCAGTTCTAGTTTAAACTGATCATAGCCTTGAAAATCAAAACATTTTTTTTGAATACCATTGCAGCAGCGACAGATTCTCAGACGCGATGAATATCTCTGCATGGAAAGATTTTCAGTCAGACTCGATAAATTGATGAAAAGAAGCGATTTTCAATAGAAAAAAATCGGTCCTGAAAGGATTCATTACAACAGACTGATTTCTTCCTTCATACGAATGATTTCTTTCTTCATGCGAATAATTTCTTCCTTCATACGAATGATTTCTTTTTGATCTCAAATATTGCATATTTAGTTGAGTAGCATGAATTGTGTATCAATATAATACTTCCTTCCCTTATTTTATTGTATTCAGGGGGTTTTGTTAAATTTTAATCAAAAATGCGGTATAGTCCCAAAAGTTGTTTGGGGTGCACTTCAGAGAACCATACATCATTACTCATTCCATTTTCGGGTTTTCGCCCCTTGTAAAAATTTTCTATATAAACAACTAGTCATCACGTTGATAAAAGCAATTTTCTTCATATACAATCACGTTAAAACATGGCAATGCAAATCGGATCGGTTATGTTGATAATTCTGTGGTGTCAATTACAAGCTGTGTATACGATGGCCTTGCCAACCGCTTATCCTATATCGTCAAACACGACAATGAACAAAACTGCACGCCAATTTGGAGGCCCTGTGATACCTATAGGTGGGGGAGTTAGTGTTGGAATATATCCGGAGACGTTTCAACCTGGTAAATAAAATAATCTTTCATTGCTCATGTTGACAGTGAATGTCGTGCGGGAGGCTTGCACATGTGAAAGCGCCATATTACTTTTTATTTTGTAGATCCGGGTCAATGTTTCGCCGGAGATGACCTGGTCGAGCTGGCGACAGGTGGATATAAAAAAGTCGCGGAACTGAAATCAGGAGATCGCGTTTGGGCAATGACATCGTCTAATACAGTCACAGAAACGGAATTTATGCTGATGATGCATAAATCATCGGACGATTACGGTAAGTTTCGAAAAGATGACAATATAGTGATGTTGCATGAGAAAACAAAAACTACTCATTCGAATAATGAATTGAGCACATTTCTGATTCTTGAGAATTTTTAGCCGTTCACTTTCCACTAGATATGTCAGAAAGGTTTCGAACAAATAGGAGAAATACAGATTATTGCGGAAAGCTATGTTGAAAATTGATTCTGACATAATCTCAAAAAGAATGGATTATATTTCGATTTTTGGAACTCTCTAGAAAATATTTCGGCGAAAAAGGTTCAAAAACCACTTTTATTCGATTACGACTTTAAACTAGATTTCTAAATTTGGCTTT